TTTTTGTTTTTAGCACTAAGATTTCCCGCTAAAAAGTAGGTTCAGCATTACGGTCAGAAGAAAAAAACTTACGCCATAACTTCTAAAAAACCTTAAGATACAGCTACAATCCTTTCTTCTTAAAAAGAAAATTGAAGTGGATCTGAAGTCCAAAATGCTGGTACAAAGCGAAGTGTAAAATTCCAAAGTTTTAAATCTTTTTCCCTCATTTAGCACTGCAAAACTCATCGAAATCTTGACTACTAGCATTGCTCGCCGCATTTCGTAGTTCCCACATGTTTGCTTGTGCATCCCCTGATGGCGCTTCATTAACATCAGCACTAAGTAGTGGCAGCAGCCTCCCAGCTGCTTTTGCTCCAGCCTCATTTGGTACTCACTTCACTAAGTGAGATCGAAATTGACAATTAACTAACAGCTTCCCGTGCAGGCAACAAGGCGCGTGCTAATCGCAATTGTTTTGCGGCGAAAACTGCGTTTTTTTTTTTCAAATGGGGAAAAAACGATATTTCACCTTGTTTTGGGAAAAATCATAGTCGATACGTGCACGAATCTCTCCATATTGCTGATGTTCGGGCACTTCGAACGCGTCAATACATTCAGGTTGAACCGTTAACGTTCGCGATGTGAATGTTGGCAACCCACCGACGTCGACGCTTTTTTGATTAGAAGGTTGATACTGAAATAGGAGTTATAATAGGGAAACAGCTCAAAACTAAAAAAACAGAATAATTCATCTCTTCCCTCTTCTCCTATCACTTACCAAAATATTGATTGCAAACAATCAAGGAATAGGAATGATTTTTCTTGCGTCAAAACGGGGCTGCTCTTACCAAGAACAATATTATTTGATTCAGCAAGAAAAAAGAAGAAAAAGTGGGAATTCATTAAATTTCAAATGCACCTAAGCTTGAAATTTATGTGCCAAACTAAGATTTTATTGAAATTGCTAAAACCGACGTGGGAAAAATGAATAACCCAACAGCTTTTTCGTGTCATTCATTTTGATTTTTGAGCAAAGTCACACCCAATAAGCTTTTGCACTAATGAGTGTGCTCAGATATGGAAAGAAACTTTTTCTCTTTAACAATATAAGCCAAAATTCACTTTGTTCCATTTATTCTCAACCTTGCCAGTAAATGATATATCGAAATCAGAAAGATGTTCATGAATTGAGAAGAAGAGGTGGCCAACCAAGTCGTCGGTAAAACATTTTTTGAAAATGCTAAGACATATTCTACTATCTATACAGAATGACAAGCAGTCATTGGGTTACCTCAGTTTAATTAGTAAAAAACCAACTGAACAAACATAAATTTGAACGATGCTAAGGAGAAAGTTGATATTTTCACATTAAAAAAAATGAAAATTTAGCAACACTAAGTCTTAAAGCTGGCAACAGTCTGAAGGAGGAGTTTATGGGATAGAAGAAGTTGAATTTGTCAATCATAAAGTTGGCTTTTCAAAAAAAGGGATGAGATGCAAGCAAGTGAGCCTTGCCACAATGAGCAACCTTTCAATGGTTTATTTAGAAAACTATTTAGTTTAATTAGAAAACATAACATTAAGAACAAATTATAAAAGAAGTTCTTTATTTATAAGGGTTTTTAACAACACAACTTTATAAAGCCCCAAAAACTATTTATTTTGCGGGAAATTTTTATCTTGACATCAAAAAACTCCTAAACAAAAAAGCTCATGGCTCCCTCTAAATTGCTCCTCTCCCGCTTTCCTACTCAGCCTTTTTTATGCCAGTAATTAAGGGCTATTGAACCACCAAGTTGTGGTCAGACGGGAAGAGACACATTTTTCTAATTGAGTAGTTTAGATGTTTATTTTCTGTATTCAATCTTAATCCAAATTATTGCCGCTTAAAAGCCATTTGACTCAATCACTAATTTTCCCCGTAGGTGCAAGGTGACGTGAGTCTTTTTTGAAGGAAACAGGAACAAAGCAAATCGATGTCTGTTAGAAGCAGAAGCAGTGGGGGGAAAATCATTGAATGTAGAAAAAAACTAAGAGATTTTCTGCCAGCATGGAACACGTCATGTAGGAAATTCTGGGAATGATTATTTTGGCAAAAACGAATAATCGAGCAAGATGTAAGAATTAGAAATGGAAGGAACGATTACAAGAACATGAGATGAGTTGCATTTTTGCGAAAAACATTTGA